TTAAATGGACATTTGTGGGTTTTTATCTGGAAAACGCTTGTCAAGCAGAAACCCACCACGTCCTGGAACACTGCCGCCGAACCATTCACTGGAAGGGGATTAACCCGAACCACCCATCTGAGACCCCGGGGAGGTTGTTCGGCTAGCCAGTCCTTAGCTCAATGGCTTCAATCCACCCTTGGCACAACCGCTACGTAACCATAATGCTGTATCTCACTCTCTTGTTGTTCACACACCACGTCATCTGTCCCAGCATCATAATACTTAACAACTGTTTTAGCAGAGTTAGCTGCTCTACAGCGCGAGTTTAACAGTAAGCCTTCTAACTATAATGCACATCGCTCACGCAGCAAATCACATAACGGAGACATTCCTGCAGATAATAATCGATAATACTGGTACAATAGACGCTTCGATAAGCATGCCACATGTTTTACCACACGCTGCACGTTTCATTCGGCTTAAAAGGGAAACGCTCGGGCCGGAACGTAAAGGCGACTAAGGTCACTGGCCCATGCGAAAGCCGACGCCTCCTTTACGTTCAGGACTGCAAATTTGGAACCGCTTACCTCATTGACACCAGGCTGAACTAAGCGTGGTTCCTTCCGTACCTGGGGATACGACTCAGCCGGCCATCCTTAGCCTTCGTGCTGCCAACGGCACCCTCATTCCTACCTAGAGCCAATGCTCCTTAACTATTAACTTAGGTCTACGCAGAACATTTCACTGGGTGTTCATAATTGCAGACGTCCCGTTTGTGGCTATCCACACCGTGAAAGTCTTCTGCCCCACAATAACTGTTCCCACCTTGTGGTTATTCGAGTATACGATACTGACGCATGTGCTTCCACCTTCTCTATGTGCTTGTATACGCGTTACTTTATCCCGTCCCATTTTCTTGCTACCATGGTCTCGGACTCGGAGTTACTCTGACCATTATATTCCGAATCCCTGTGCATCGCGCCGTCCTGTTCGATGATGAGATGAATGTTGCGCTGTGTATTGGTGTATGCAATCTCCAATCAGGAATGAGTGGGTCTTTCGATTGAGGAACCATGGGCCGCTGGTAGTACTGCACTACGACGAACGCTCAATTAAGTACTTACGTGTCTTGCACCTGCATTCTTGTCGGTTAGAGGCGTGACCGTTTCTCGCAATTTACAAGCTTGAGCGCTACCCAAACGTCACTTGTTGTCGACTTCAGAATGTGAGCACATGAGGTTTGTTTATGCTTTAATTAATGCGTTGTAAATAACACCGTAGATCTTAGATGTGGCCTTTGTTTCGCTTAATTTGATATCGTTTCTTACGTTTTAGCTCGAAGTCGTAGAAGGTCGTAAAACGCAGTTTGCTAAGAGTTGTTGGAAACGTGAAAATGACAAACCAGCAGTTTTGGAATTTCCTCTAAAACCGAATTATCTAGAGGAACGGTCGTTACAAAAATATTTATATAGTGATGCATGAACGAATGCATCCAGTATGGTGACACTACGCCAAGCTTCTGTTAATAGAACTACACTCTGTAAAGTATACAGAAAGTGCATGTTACTTAATAAAGCACAAATATTAGTAGGAGTGGTTGAGTGGAGATCGTTTAGTTTAAAGGCGTCAAAGATATTGGGAGGGTGGCCGCATGGTGGGAATAGTGACATAGAAGAATCGAGGTAACAAGGTATAGTGGGTGGACATTTGAGGTATGAAGGGCGTTTACTGATGTGTGAGAATCTTTCATAGCGCCCCAATGAGGGCTCACAGTAAAACCGCCGAAATTAATCATCTCTATGTCCTGACCACCGCACCAAGTTGACCGGTATTATTTTTAATCGCTCAAATGTTCATCATGTAAACCACATGCATTCATACCACACTATTTTGGCCATCCTTCTATGTTTACGACTTTGGTCCATTCCCTTGTGGTCAACTTACGGAGGTTTTACCTTCTGGGTCAGGTTAATGCATGTATGCCACCTGACGACTTAGGGCAGTTTAAGAAGTGGCTCATAACCTTGTTAAGGATGTTAACCACAGAGTGTGTTCACTATAAGCAAGTACACCCAAACATTATAGTTGAAAACGTTGCTTAAGTTTTAACCACTGCACATTTTGATTTAAGTTAAGGAGAAGTAATAAAAGGTTGAGTACGTTCGATCCTTAAAATAAGGAAGACACCTTTTTGTTTAACAACATTTTAATAAAACAAGCGGTGATAAATGTTAAAGAGACGGCTGCTATTGCTTATTTCTAACAATTTCTGGTATAATTGGTGCGGTTTCTACTAATGCATATTGTAAGTTCATCCGCAACTTCATCCGGTTCTTTGCTTTTGTTTTCATTATTACCATTGCCGAAAATCTACTTGCACACTTATAATCTGTTCCGATGGTATCAGTAATCACATGACGATTACCTATACCAGTGGATACTCGACACTAACCTTTGCATAAAAGTTTGCTTGGCATCTAAACATTTACTTGGTGATTTCCCAGATCAGGAATATGTTTTCTTACACCTTGTACCAGTGATGCCAAGTGAAGAATTATTTGATCTAAAAATAAGCATTTTTCATTTTTTCCAACAAACACCATGGTAAGTTCTGAAAACATCGAAACGTCGTCGACAGCAGCTTTGCGTTGGCAAAGCTGCCATTTTCGAAAAATAAGCTGACAACCCATTCTGAGCCTTCAAAATATTCGTAATATTTCCTTGCAGCTGAGGTGAACCGTACTTATATTTCTGAAGAAATGCCAGTCTAGAAATAACCATTGTCTGTGTGCGCGTACCCCGTTCTCCTTATCTTCATGCAGTTCTTTCTTTTCCAGAACCAGTAATTTCTTCGAGAAACTCTAGCATGGGGTACAACACCTTATCCAGGGATAACCACTGCATTTCCTTGTGGGATGACAACACAACTAATTTTCTCCAAAATTCGTTGCACAACTCTGAAAACTCGTATTTTTTACACTTTGTGGATGAGATTTGGTTTTCACTACATGGGTAAAGGCGTCCATCAAAGCAGAGGAAAGAATTTTCACTGCTAAATCTAAACGATGTAGTGGTTAAAGGTACCATGCGGAGCAACATGTTTGCATAATATTTTAAGTCTGGTACGAATGCCCAACGTAGATGGTGCTGAGTCTGTACAGACACACATCAACTTCGACCACCATAGCTCCATTTCCTCGAGAAGATTCTTCACTGTTCGAAAGACATCTTCGCCAAGTGCAGTAGTGCTCTGATTCTGAGAACAACTACTTTTCTTTGAGGCAGTCGCCTGTTATGTGTTGAACACGGGTAAGTAGCTCGCAACAAGCTACGACTCATCTAATTGTAATGCGAAGGAAGGACTTGATTTTGTTTCCATGAGTACCGTGTCAAAATATTCTTGCATCGAGGACATCCACGATGACGCCTTTGATGGTGCTGTTAGGAAGCGATATAACGTTTTTCTTTTCCACATGTTGCGGTCCTAGAGTGAACTTAACCGCATTCAGTATGCAATGTTTGATGTGATCCTCCCCCATTTCCTGTTTTCGGTGATTCGAAGAGCAGGGCGGTAAGAAACTTCATGCTCGACTTCAATTGACCAAAGAAAGTATCCCGACACGTCCAAGTGCGAACTTTTCAGAGCATCTGCTTTACGGTTGACGAATAATATATTACCCTCGGATTAAGCGTGACTTCGTTTAAATTGCGCTCGCTATTTGTTGGGTTGTATAGTTTCTACCGTGAGCGCTTTGCTGAAAAAATAACAAAGGGACATTTCAAACTTTTCTGGGAAGAGCTCTTCCCATCACACCATTTCCGTCGTCCAGGTCACAGACCGAGAAAAATGCCGCTTTGTGTTGTCTCCACCTATTCAAAATAATCGATAAGGGAATGATCGATTTTCGCCACACATTTAAAACCAGACCATTTCGGGGTTGTGCTGCTGGTATTTTGACCTGCAATTTTCCGATATCAGCACTCACCCGCTGCAATCAAAGCACCGACGCTCACCCTGGCACTCAGTCGATCGGTAAGCAACCATTAGGTGGCGAATATACCATGGGAACCTTTGTTCATCTGTAATAACCCGAGGTACACAAGGAATTGTCCATCGAGAAATGTCTGACAAGCAGAACTTCCACTCAACTACGCGCTTTCCACTGGGGATGTTGTGGTGAGCCCTGATTCTGCGTTTATTCCTAACGCGTATTCAGCTACAGTTTTAAAGCGTTTCTCTTTCGGGGCGTTCTTACGGTCTGCATTGGCTCATTACCGCTTAGTTTTTCTGGTACTTCTATTCTACTAATACTTGGCACATTAGTGCCTGTCTTTGGTACATCACAATGTATCTGGCTTGGTCAATTTGTCCAGGTACAGATTTAAAAACTTCATTTCACCGGTCGGAACTCCAAGATTCTTGCTACTGCAGAGTGTGTTTCAATGATAATAGTACTCCTACTGATTAACTGCTTAGGGACGTCACATCATTGAATTCAGTTCTCAAGATGGTCGTCTTACGATCCAAATGCTGTCTTACTGCGGATAATTGAGCCAAATCCCGGTTAATAATAAATTAATTAATTTTAGCTGTTATGGTGAAGTTTTGATTCCAACGAGTTTTGTTGGTGGAGGCAGGAAACGACGTGGGACCATGTATTCTGATTCAGGCTTGGTTTGCGTGCTTTTTCTAGAATATCAAACAATTGCAAGACTGGAGGCTGCTGTGTCAGATATTACTTAGCCCAGTGAAACCGTTGCTTCACTTCCTTGCGAAAATGGTCTCTAACCCAGCCAGCTGCTTCCTGAGGTCAGCATTATCACTTGTTGCCAATATTTCAAACTATCTTCGCTTTCTCACATGTATGCGTCCTACCATAGAAACGTATACCTCACTCCAGTTAACGGTTTCCAAGTAAATATTCGGTTACCAACGCTACTGAGGACGGGCGTATGCTGCATTCAGATAATCAGGACAATTTCCTTATGTGGGTCTCGGCTCAGTTGGTACGTTACTGATGGCTGGTGCGGTCAAGGCTGGGAAATCTCAAAGTTAGTTAACTTTGTTTATATGCTTTCTGCTAGCACATTACTGTCGCTTGTATTCAAGTATTTATCTATATTCGCATGTATCTTATGGTGAATAGTTGTGCCTCCCCACTAGCACTGCTCAGTTTGAACAGATTAATGCGGTGTTGTTTAGCCTTACCCTTCAGGATAGATCTTGTGGTTTTCAATATGAGTATCACTCTTGCATGAATCCCACTTCGTTGACCACGGTGGCTTCGCTACTCGCGTGTGAGACTAGCAAAGTGCCTTAACAGACAGGTCTCAGTGCCGGATCGACATACAAACATTGTATCCCTAGTCAAGCGACGCCATAATGTGTGGGTTGCATGTTACGGCGATTGGACATCGTCCTCTACGATCTGATAGTTAGCAGTTTAGTTGTCTGGGGTGCTTCCTGCCGCCCTCATCTTTCAATCATACAGTTCGCGTACCGCCCATCCTGTTCTGTTGTAAGTAAGTACATACGCATTTACCTAAGTAGAAACACCGAGCTCGAGTGAGTGGTATCCCTACTTGATAAGATCCAACATTTTCGGAACCTACGTTGGAGTGCAGTGTCTTCGAGGCCGGTAAGGCCTCATATTCATTTGCTTCATCAGCCACGGTCCCAGTGATAGAAATGACCAAGTTTCACTTCCATGTGAATAGCGGTCCACACTGAGGTTGCGCGTCGCAAACCACTCACACAACGAGTACTTCCAAATGACCGATGCAAGCGGTCATTCCCCGTTGTGACAAGCGTTTCCAGCTGGGTCTCGGTGGCTGGCTGACATCCCAAAGCGCCATATTCGAGTGCCTGCTACCTCTACCCGATGGGATCAAACAAGTCGGAAGGTGGTCGTGGACTACATAGTATCTGTTATGGTCGAAAAAGGTGGATCAAGCAACATGGGTTCCCCCAGACTCCTGACTGGTGTGTCGTTGTAATGTCAGAACACGCGATACTGGTCATATATTGTGTATTGGCGAAGTGACCACAAGACAGGACAAGGTACCTGCCAATAGAGCAAAAGTACAATGTGTGCTAGTCGAAACGTGGGATTTTATGAGGGGGTGGGTTTTTTCACAATTGTCGCACGTTGTGTAAGCCAGGCGATAAGAACAATATTCTGTTATATAAAACAAACACAAGGTTGGTGGGTTTTGGTGGAAACATGCCAAATCTGTGTGTGCCTGCCTGTAAGCAGTCGCACAACGGACTCGGAACATGTGTTTGCTTCGTATTTGTGGCATAGGAACAAGCTCGAACACTGTCCTGCGGGGACATGTGGCTTCGGTTTTCCAAACTCTGGAGTTTACTCCGGTTGGAATGGCTCTAACCCTAACTGTTTGCGGGTGCGCAACATCCTATGTTCATCTGCATACTGGGAAAAGTTACTTGAAAGATTAGACTGCAAGGCCGAGTGGTGCACCGAGTGAGTTCCATTGGCCTGGCTACTCAGTTATATGGATGAGATATCTAGTTCGTTTATTAGGTCAGTGCGTTGGACATTCGGATTCCACCCAGCCGGATGCACAAATTAGGACAGTGAATTTACACCACACTGCTAGCAGAATGTTCCATCTTAACATCAAGCTCACTCTTAAGTACAACATTGCACTGCCTTAGTCTTCTGCCCCATAGCAGTACTCATCAACGGTTTCATTACGAAATTGTGGCAGATTTTCAGAACTTACTCCACAGAAAAGTATCTTAGGCTCTTCAAAGCAGAATTTAGGGAGCACGCTGTGTGGTTGGGTTTCGACTCGTAGCCTCTGTTGAGACCTCGGCTCACTTTGAGATAAACCTCGGTCATTCCGATCTCGAGGACCGTATCCTGAATGGATATATTTGGGCGTTGCTGTTCCCAATCCTGGACACCACGACCGCGGTTTCGTCTTGGTTTAGATTCGTCAGGTGGAGATAACCTGAGCTGAGGTGGAACTCAGAGCTTAGTACTTCATGGCTGATGCTCTGAACACTACGCTACTGAGATCCGCGAGTAACGCTTGGCACAGCAGAAAGTAAGTGAGCCAGGGTTGGGAAGAGCAACACCCAAACATATCCATTCAGGATACGGTCCTCGAGATCGGAAAGATCGAGGTTTATCTCAAAGTGAGCCTAGGTCTCAATAAATGTCACAACCCAACCACACAGCGTGCTCGCTAAATTCCGCTTTGAATTACTTTCCGCTGTACCAGGCATTGCTCGCGGCTCTCAGTAGCATAGTGTTCAGGGTGTCAGCCATGAAGTTCTAAGCTCTGAGTTCCACCCCAGCTCAGGTTATCTCCACCTGACGAGTCTAAACCAAGACGAAACCGCGGTCGTGGTGTGCCAGGGTTGGGAAGAGCAACACCCAGATATATCCTAGGCTCTGTATTGATGCTTCAAACTTTGAGCCTAAGGAACTACGCTTAATAATCGCTAATTTGGATAAAGGAACATTTAGATATTTGATTGCTATGCAGCAACAGTGTGCCGATGTGTAGGGACTCTTCTTTTCTCCCAGCAAATGGCTAGGATGTAAATGATATATGAAGAGCTCGTCCTCGACTTTTATTTCAAAGTAATGGGACTCAGCAGTACCATTTTCCATTCGAGATGAGTTTGTTAAGCCGAAGTGGACCAATCCAAGCTGAATTCTATTTTGATCAACTATGGCATGTTTAGCGGATATACCAACAACTGATTGCTCGGTTTGCCGGTCAACGACTGCGGTTGTCATCCGATTCTGTGAGCCAAATGCAAGTGCACCATTACCTAGATGTGGCACCAACCATACTTCGTAGAAGTTGACCCCTCAGTGCGACATCAATAAGACCTCAGTAGAATGGGAACCTCTCATCCATCGATAGGGCGCCAACTTGCAGATAGACTTCGTGCAACAGCGTTTGTATATAGAATGACAGTAACAATGAGGAATCATTGGTCTATGCGGTGAACCAAGGAGCCAGTAAGCCCTTTTAGAAAAACCCATCATGATTGAAGGGTAATTTCGAAGTACAGATTGTGTGATTGGATTGTGACGCGCAATCTCGATGTAGACCATGATTCACATGGAAGTGTACCTAAGTAAAATCGCTCACTAGGGCTGTAGCTGACACAGATGGAAACTGGGTATTGCCCACTCGAACATACCGAGCATCACGACATGTTTCGGCCTTGTTTGATGTCATTAGGTGTAGATAACTGACCTGGGACCGGGATCATTTGAATAGTATCCGAAACCCCAACCCCTAGCCAAAGGGGTCAGTACTCCTATACATAAGTCTTCTTTACTCCATAGTCTACGTCTGGTGTCCTTTTGAGTTTTTGTTAAAGAAACAAGAACAATGGAACCAACTTCTCTTATTTACCTTTATTGTTGCTTTCTGATTTCTCTTCGGATGATTCGTTCTCGATGTTGACTGCAATTATTGATCCATGATGCAATGTTAAACTAACCTCTGGTTCGCTGAGTAACTGCCTGGCTGATAGATCATCAAGAGATTCAGCATCCTGAATCACTTTATGGATATCAGCTTCAACAGAGTTGTGTCCATCACAGCGAGAGATATTGTAACTGTTGCTTTCCAGGACACCGTCAGCTTCTTTTGTTAACCGTAAGAATTGTGGATAATACGTTTTACCCTTCCTGTTGAAAAAACAGGTTTTACCAAGTGAAAGATATCTGCCCTACAATAGGAACAAATCCAACGACATTAAAAAAGAAAAAGCATGTTATTACAATACAAAATATATAGAAATATTTTCATAGTACGGGCATGTTTTCACTTATGTTCCCAATAATCTAGTGATCCAAAGTCGCATGTCAAGGTATCATTTGTTGCTGGCGTCCTTAAAAATGGACAAATGATTGCAGTTCATGGATGCAATAACTATCACCCACCTTAAACGATTATATGTGACAATGCGATCTAGACATATAACTCAACACAAATATAGCACTACTTGAGATCTTGTAGAGAATAATTACCTAAAGTCCGTCAGCCATCTTGGATTTTCCATTTTATCCGCTTTTCGTGACCGTACAATGAAGAAAAGCTTCTTCTCAAAAATAAAATTGGACTGGCCAAAATGAGTTCAGAATAATGGGACTTTTATATAAACTTTCGAACAAAATCATATAAATAGAATAATGCAACGCCTTAAACCGCATTTTAAGATATTCTCCTTTAAAAAGTACGCCAGCAGAAAGCAGGTTAATATTTCTTAAGATGGAATTTAGAACTTTCACCCATTTTCAGTTCGTTCCGTGCTTCCGTTTGGCCCAAATCATCCAGATATAGCATTCGGCAAACATTACTTTTAACCTTCCTTGAAGTAAGTAGTACCTTTAAGTGCATTTTGAAGATAACAAATTTGAAGAAGGAAATAGTGGGTATGAGACACTGTTCCGAAGTCTGCTGACACACGTTTAATCGTTACTCCTGAGGCACACTGAACTTGAATCCCTTTAGAAGGATATGATCAATAGTGGGCCATGAAAGATTGAAAGCCAATCAGTTTTATTAGGAACTGTCTGGCTTAAGAGCAGGTTTCGTTTAGAACATGCTATATCATGGAATCGAACCTGGCTTCTGTAGAAGTGTCCATCAGCCGACTGGCTCGCAACTTTAGCGTAGTGCTGTATGACTGGCAGACGACTGGCCGATTTTCAGTTCCACCGAGCAGTCACCCGAAACAGTTGGTCCTCCCATCTATTTATGTCGCTGGTTAGTACGCCTAATCATTTCTAACTGTTTGTTTTATGCCGGTGAACTGAATATAAGACTAGCACTGTAAATGTTTGACTGTCACGTATGTCTTTAAACGGATCTCAATAAACTAAAGCAATGGTCAGTACAGAACCCCGTTCCATTCAGCTTACAAAAATACAGAGTACTCCGTTTACGGCGCTATTTAATTCAAGCTTACAAGCTGAAGGTTTATCGCGATGGGGCTCTCGGTGCTCTAACTTAAAAAAATCCCGGTTACTTGCAGCAACCAGAAAGGGCATCAA